ATACTATACTAAAATTGAAGCATATTGAGGATGCATTAATCGGGAATACACGACAGAAGGGATTAATCGTTTTATTTCCAAACTTCACCTTCAGCAAGCGTAGGTTTTTTTTCAAAATTTTTTTATTTCTCTCTGAAGAATGTATCTTTCTCCTAAGACTGAGATCGGTAAAAAAAAAGAATAATAATAATCAAATCGCACCATCTCTGTAATAAGTGAATGCCTCTTTTTCTCCAGAAGTTGTCGGAATTATTCGTAATAAGATATTGGCTACAATGGTAAAGGTCTTATCAATAAAATTTCCATTTATCCGAGATCTAGTCATAGGTAGCAATCCATTCTAAAATTTTAGCATGATAAAATAATTCCCCAAACAGAGGAATTGTACAATACAGTACGAAATAACGTAAAAATGGACTTCTTAATCAAATTACTTTATTCTACGGTAGGCCTTGAAGTAGGTTTTTTTTTCAAAAAAAAAAAAAATTCTTTCTATTTCTATTTTTTTAGTTTCAATTGATTGTGTGCGCGTACGCAAATGGGATATAAATGCCTCACTATTCACTCGGTTTAGGGGCATAATCATTATGTAGGAGAGATGGCCGAGTGGTTCAAGGCGTAGCATTGGAACTGCTATGTAGGCTTTTTGTTTACCGAGGGTTCGAATCCCTCTCTTTCCGCACCCTTACCAAGTTCATCAATGTTACTGACCTCAATGTTTGAAATAATAATAGATAAGATTTTTGTTTATGTAATATAGAAAATTGTGGATAAAGTGGGCAAGGAATAACAATTTTCCTATACCCACTTCTATACACGAATGGGGGAAAATACTCGGATCAAAATTCTTGTTATTTGAACTAGGTTTTAGTCTGACGAGAATAATATTCTACAACCAGCAATTCCTTAATTTTCAAACCAACCCATTGACTATCTATTATTTGATTGACTAATCCTTTATATTGGGATGGATCAAGAGTCAAATGGGTTGGCAATTTTTCGCGGGGGGCTGATTGAAGAGAATTTTGAATCAGAGTTCTAGATTTTTGTTCATCCTTGGCTGTAATAATATCTTCAGGTTTACAACGATAACTTGGTATATTTACTATACGACCATTAACTAAAACATGTCTGTGGTTAACTAATTGACGGGCTTGAGGAATAGTCACAGCCATACCCAATCGAAAAAGTATGTTATCCAAACGCATTTCAAGTAATTGAAGTAAAACTTGACCGGTTGACCCTTTCGCTTTTCCAGCGATACGAACATATTTCAGCAATTGGCGTTCTGGAAGACCATAATGAAAACGCAATTTTTGTTTTTCTTCTAAACGAATAGAATAGTAAGATTTTTCCCTTTTTTCCCTTTTTTCCCTTTTTTCACTGGAGCGCGATTGTTCGCTTCCAACTGGAAGCTGTTTACTGGTTAGTCCTGGTAAAGCCCCCAGACGGCGTATTTTTTTCAAACGAGGCCCTCTGTAACGTGACATAAACACTCCTTTTTTGTTAAATGGAAAATTTCATAAAGAAAAATTAAAACTAAACTAAATGACAAAAAATATTCTAAATATAGTGTAGTACAAAGAAGAATTGGAAAGATTCTATCAGGATCCGAATTTAATTCTATTGTATATCTATATAAATAAAAAAAAGGCGGTTATTTTCTTGATTTGTTCTACAGAAAAGGAACACCCTATTCTTTTTTTTTCCTAAAAAAAAAAGAGATTATCCCTTCTGTCAAAAATGAAAAAAAAAAAATAGAGAGAAAAAAGCCGGCTATCGGAATCGAACCGATGACCATCGCATTACAAATGCGATGCTCTAACCTCTGAGCTAAGCGGGCTCTCAGAACACAAATTGTGCATTTCTCAGAATTCTTTCCTAAACTACCGGGATCCTAGTTATTAACTATTTACTATTTACTATTAGCTCTTCATAACACAATTACTATATCATAATCTAATCAAATAAATACTAGAATATCAAAGAAATATAGAATATTCTATATTTCTTTGATATTCTAGTATATAACATATAATCACAATCGGAATAATTTTAAGATACGGATCTCAATTATTTGAATTACCAGTTACCTAGAATACTATTTTTTTCATTTCTCTAATAATTCATAATTTCTCAAATATTTTTTGATCCATAAAAAACTTATTTGATAAACAAGAATTTGAATTCATATATCATATAGTAAGATTCTATTTTTTTTAGTTTAGTATAGAATCTTTCCTATTCGAAAAAATAGGAAAGATTAGATCGAACCAAATTTAAAAATCACATCCCGATTTATCTATCTCTTATCTATCTAGCCGATTTCTCTATCTCTTATATATCTAGTACTTTACTTTCTCAATAAAAAATACAAGAGATAAAATGTCACCATAAGTAGAGGTAGAAATCTATTGCTAGTGATGGTTATCATTACATAATATTCAATAGTGATAATTATATAAGAAAACGTCACATATTTTGATAACTCTTGATAGAC